GTAAGAAAGGCATTGAGCCCTTCAGTATTAAGAGTAGGACATTCTTCTGCAGACCGTCATTGACTCAGGTAACCAGGAGGCACTGGTTAAATGGCATGAAACATATGTTGACCATTGTATGATACATAAATAAATAAATATATTCCATATTTAACCTTCTGATGCATAGAAATAGCTTAAAAACTCCCAATACATAACATGCACTGGAATTGATGTTATGTGCATTCCTTATATTCCAGCTTCGGCGTCAAGCACGGCTGAGGAGAGAGTATTTATTCAGGAAGTCAATTGAGGAGCGTCAGAGGACCACCCAAGATAAAAAGGATCGTCTGAAGGCAGCATTGGCAGGTTGGTGTTTTCCCAGTCATCTTTGTGGCTTTCCTCTGAGGTGATTAGAGATCAGGTGTTCATGGTCATTGGTACATTACGACTAACATGGTTTTAGTATACTCATTGATCTCATCCAGGCTGGGGCCAATGCCTTGCTATACATGCAGACTGAAAGGGCCTGAAATTGCCAAGTGATGGCAGAAAGCTGCTATCTGGAATTATCTATGTTGGTTAAATAACTTGGGCAAATAATTCTTGGGTATTAATGTCCGACTGCGTGCAATATGATAGATAGAGTAAACACCACCCAAACACAACCCAATTACAAGAGTGAGGCCATAAATTGAACATGGGTCACAGGTTTTGTGTAGCATGTCTTGGTCTCATTTTTCAGATGTTCAAAGTTTAATGTGTGGTCTTTGATTTGACCTAGGCTGATTTCAGGTCATCTTCCATGGCTGTGAGGGATGCCATCCTGTAACAGCATGCCAGGAGGAAAGCATGACTTGTTAGGTTATGTGGCAGCTCTGTGATGGCAGCCCCTCCTCCAATGGGCATGTTCCTGCTGACGCCTGGTCTCGCCCGCCAGAGAATCGGCCGCTGGACACCGACCTGCGCTATGAGGGCCTGAAGCTGCATGCGCAGGGCGAGTGGGATGACGCCGGACCGCGTCTGGCCGCCGAAGCCGGCACAGAGTCGGGCGGTGCGGCCACCTCCCACGTGGACGACGAGTATCGCTGGGCGGGCGTGCACGACCCCAAGATCATTATCACCACCTCGAGGAACCCCAGCTCGCGGCTCAAGAAGTTCGCCAAGGTCGGCCCGCCGGCCAGCGCTGGCTGCTGTGTTGTGCGCCTGGTCTCCCATGCATGCTGGTCTGCATCTGTGCTATCTGTGCTGGTCTGCATCTGTGCTGTGTGATACCGTTGGAACTGTGTGGTGTGGATCATGCTAGTTTTGCAGCTCTCACTATCCTCCTGTTTGTTCGGTGTCTCCTGGTTGGCGACGTATCGAGGAACCTAAAAGCTTGTGCCCTCGTTTTTGTTTTGAGTCCGTCACATTCCGTGTGCTGCACCATGACAAGTATTGTCATTAGGCACGACATGCATGAGTCACACAAACTCTATTTGACCTTCAAGCCCATTGTATGACCCAACAGTTTACCGGGTGTTTGCGTGCTGCAGGAGATGAAGCTGGTCTTTCCGAACGCGCAGCGGATGAACCGCGGCGGCTACGAGCTGACCCAGCTGCTGGACGCCTGTCGGGCCAATGGCGTGACGGACTTTATCAAGGTGAGCGCCAAGCAGCGCTGGGATCGCGTCGAATGGACGGATGCGAAGTGGCCGGCGCGGCGCCGGCACGGGCTTTTTGGGCTATTTGGGTGCAGTGCTTGTACCGTTTGTGTTCTTGCGTGCGTGCGTGCGTGCGTGCGTGCGTTCATTCGTTCCTGCGTGTGTTTGGGTATATATGTATGTAATCTGGTATATATATATATATATATATATATATATATATATATATATATACCAATACATCATATGCCAATATATATATATATATATATATATATATATACCAATACATCATATGCCAATATATATTGGTATATGATGTAGGCACGAACTTGTGTGTCTCGCCGGAGACAGCTGACGGCGCGTCCCGTGCCCCGGGCAGCGGGCGCCCTCGGCCGCGCTCGGCGCTGACCCCGGCTGTGACCCGGCAGATCAGCGAGCACCGCGGCGAGCCGGCCGGCCTGACTGTCTGTCACCTGCCGTATGGGCCGACGGCCCACTTCACCCTGCTGGACGTGGTGATGCGACACGACATCCCCGACATCGGCACCATGTCCGAGCAATACCCGCACCTCGTCTTCCACAACTTCAAGACCAAGCTGGGCCGGCGGGTGAGCGCCTCGACGCGAAGCGCTGCTCGCAGCTGGCTGTGCCCTGACATGCGCTTCGATGCAGACCCACGAATCACGTCACGACTTCGTTCTCGAACGGACGACACTGTTGTAACGGCTTCGTGCGTGAGGAGTGAGCTTGTTAGGTACCGTTGCTTAGGTTGCTTTTGCGAAATAGATAGTGCAACTTAACCTACAGCTTTCCCTGAAAGGGCATTGTTGTACTTCGTCACACACAGTGTTGCCATTTATCGCAGAAGGTGAGTTTAGTGCTTATTGCGACAAAGGCAGGTGCGGTTTGAAAGTTCTTTGAGGGACTGCTGGAGGGAAAGGGCAGACCATTGGAGCGGCTGCGGCTTCGCCTTTGCTCGTCCCGACTTCTCATGACCGAGCGTCACTCTGACCGGGCAGACCATTGGAGCGGCTGCGGCTTCGCCTTTGCTCGTCCCGACTTCCCATGACCGAGCGGCGCTCTGACCGGGCAGACCATTAGAGCGGCTGCGGCTTCGCCTTTGCTCGTCCTGACTCCCCATGACCGAGCGACGCTCTGACCGCGACGTCGCCGCCCTGCTCCAGGTGCAGGACATTCTCAAGTACCTGTTCCCCGTGCCGAAGGAGGACAGCAAGCGCGTGCTGACCTTCATCAACCACGACGATTACATCCTGTTCCGTCACCACACGTACCGGCGGGCGGCTGGCGGCGGACGGGAGCTGCAGCTCAGCGAGGCTGGCCCGCGCTTTCTGCTGAAACGTGAGCTACCGGGGCGACTTCCGACCGGACCCGGGGAAACGGGCGGACAGGCGCGCCACGTGCGCCTGTCTGTCCTGTCCGATGAGGCGCGTGTCTGTCTGATGTCCTGTCTGTCCTGTTTGATGAGGCGAGCGTCTGTGATTTCCCGTCGGATGAGGCGAGCGGCAGCCTGATGTCCCGTTTGTCCTGTCTGATGAGGCGTGCGTCTGTCTGATGTCCTGTCTGTCCCGTTTGATGAGGCGAGCGTCTGTGATTTCCCGTCGGATGAGGCGAGCGGCAACCTGATGTCCCGTTTGTCCTGTCTGATGAGGCGTGCGTCTGTTTGGTGTCCTGTCTGATGAGGCGTGCGTCTGCCTGATGTCCTGTCTGTCCTTTCCGATGAGGCGCGTGCCTGTCTGTTGTCCTGTCTATTCTGTCTGGTGAGGCGCGCGTCTGTCTGATATCTCGTCTGATATCCCGTTTGTCCTGTCTGGTGAGGCGCGCGTCTGTCTGATGTCCTGTTTGTTCTGTCCGATGAGGTGTTTGTCTGTCTGATGTCCTGTTTGTCCAGTCTGAGAGAGCGTGCGTCTGTCTGATATCCCGTCTGATGAGGCGAGTGTCTGTCTGATGTCCTGTTTGTCCTTGTCCTGACGGGGTGCGTATCCGCTGGTGCTGTGCTGGTGTGGGCACGCAGTCCGCAATGCTGGGAGGCGGTTGTCAGGACCGAGTGTTTTTTGACCAGGCCTTTCTCCCGACGCGTTTGTGGGGTCCGGGTTTGCCCCGGCGTATTGCAGCCGATATTTTGCTAGGCCCAGCCATCGTCCGGTTTTCTGAGGGGTCTGTCGCCATGCCCTTCCGCGGGCATGTAGCGTCTCCTCCAGGCGCGCTCCATCAAATGCTTCGGCAACGTGCTCATTAATCACGGTTGCCCGTGCCAAACATGAGAAACCTCACATTGCGGGGTGTGTGACCCGTGGCTGCCTGACGGTCCGTCCCTCGCCGGCAGTGTACGAGATCCGGCTGGGCACGCTGGACCAGGGCGCCACCGCCGAGCTGGAGTGGGTGCTGCGGCCCTACATGAACACGGCGCGCAAGCGGCGCTTCCTCTCGGAGGAGGACGCCTGGCAGACCACCGGCGACGGCGACGAGGCCGACGAGCCGCCGTCGTGACCGGCGGGCCGCGGCCCGGGCTGGGCGACGGGCGACCCCGGAGCGGATGGTTGGGAGCGTGGGCCGGAGGGGAGACGGGCACTGGTGACGTCACGGCGGCACTGACCACTGCAGCCAATACAGGTGACAACCAGACGCGTTTTTGTCCGGGACGGAGTGCGGCTGGTACGAATTGGATGGAGGTAGACACGGCACTCGGACACGGGATAACCGGGCGTCGCCTCTCGCTCCGGTGGCAGGCGATGAATACTGACAGCGCACCGTCCTGCTCTGGCTACTCCTGAAAACACGTCGCCTTGGCAGGGATGACCTGCCCCCTTTCTCCAATCCTCATTGAAGCAATGCTGGCAAGTTAGTGCAGTTATGCAGTACGAATCCTTTACAAGCGGCTTTCACCACATAGTGGCACTAATTGGCATGCTCCCCACAGGAGGTAGATACAGTGCAACCTTCATTCCATGGGAATAACACGGCACACCGACTTGGATCGCCCAAGTTCGGACAGTTCCGTCGAATGACTGTCAGAATCATCCGGCGGAACGCGTTGCGTTCGGGGAGAAATCACGGCAAGACCAGCCTCAGTATCTGCGTTACCACTGTATGCGTGTTCTCCGCTGATGGTGGGTTTATCAGCATGAATATCTTGTCCAGAAAGTCCTGTCTCGCAGTGCATGGCAAGGCACACAGCGACACGTTCCAGATCGGCTCTTGAGTTTACCGGTATTAGAGCTACCTGCGTCCCAAGCCGCCCTTGCAAACTCGCAATGGCAGAACAGCTCCAGTGATCTGGGCACGGCGCAGCGAGTAGACCGCGCGCTTTTCTGTACCACTGGTGGCATGACACGCCGTGCAATCACACATGTAATTTTTACACGCGTATTACATATTGTATGTCATACAGGTGACGTTCCAGCTGCATTTCGGCTGCTGCGCCCCACCCGTTGGCAAATCGGGCAGTTGTCCCTGACCCAGCTAACATGCGATGACACGACGATGGAACAGGACTGGATACAAACCGGGTCGACCGCGCGCCGGTAGTCACGAGAACAGCCTCGCTCGCACCGTTCAGCCAGCACCAAAGGCACTAGATGCCCGGCCTCTGATGCCGCAACTCTCCACGCCTGCATGCGTAGCTCTCGCTGGCACTCGTCGCAGCGAGTGGGGCCGTGGGACGTCCAGACGGCCACGGCGGCCGGGCGCTGGTCACGTATCCTCCCAGAGGAAGCGCTGTGACCCGAGCAGGACTGCCAGCCGCTCGTTGTGTGGCCGGTAAAAGTCCGTCAGCAGCTGCCGCGTCTCGGCCAACATCTGCATCCGCTGCAGGTTGGTTCGGCGCGCGTTGAGGACCCGAGCGGAGTTGACCAGCCTCATGTCTTGCTCTGACGGTGGCGCTGGGGACGGGTCGGGGTCAGGTCCTGGGCCGGTGGGTGACGTCACCGGTGTGAAGCGAGGCGGTGACGGAATGGAGGGTCTCAAGGGAGAAGAGTGTAGGCAGGGGCAGTGTCAGGCCCCGTGACAGGCGTGGTGTCTAGCTCTGGACAGGCAGGGGCGGTGTCGACCTCTGGACAGGTGACACCCCGTGACAGGCGTGGTGTCCTCAGGCCTCGTCGCTGTGTTGGTGTCGGGCTCTGGACAGGCAGGGGTGGCGCCAGGCCCCGTGACAGGCGTGGTGTCGACCTCTGGACAGGCAGAGGTGGCCTCAGGCCCCGTCGCTGTGTTGGTGTCGGGCTCTGGACAGGCAGGGGTGGCCTCAGGCCCCGTGACAGGCGTGGTGTCGAGCTCTGGACAGGCAGGGGTGGCCTCAGGCCCCGTGACTGGTTTGGTGTCGAGCTCTGGACAGGCAGGGGTGGCCTCAGGCCCCGTGACTGGTGTGGTGTCGAGCTCTGGAACGTTTGGAACGTCAGGATGGTGTCGACAAGCACATGCATGCGACGAAAGTGTCAAATTAAGATGCACTGTTTCGGAGCTTTCACCGTGTGTTAAGGGAACAACTCCCAGTTTTCTCCGCAAGCTTTCAAACCATTTCGTGGGTCATTCTTCAGGTGGTGTTTTTTAATGCCTTTACCATTTTTTTTTTTACTACCACCTGAAGAACAACCCACACCATGGTCCGAAAACTTGCGAAGAAGAGTACGTTTCACATATAACACATAGAACAGGCCAGGAAACATAGTCTTTACGCTACAACTCATGTGCTCAAGCGGGATTTTAAGACATCATTTAAGGTGTCTGGTGTTGGCCTCTGGCACAAATGGCTGTTATTGGTACGGAACATTTTGTCAGCCGAGAAATGCCGCTGGTCTAAAAACCACTTGCAGAAATGTTGGTGGTTCTGGCAATAAGCAGCAAGTCATACGTAACGGCACATCATGAAGTCGTTGGCAGGTGGCGAGCACTGTCAGACATTCCTCACGCTCTGTTGACGCGCGGAATAAAGTTGTGGACATAATGTGGGGGAGGGGCGGGCGGGGTGGGGGTACCACGTGTCCATGTGATCTCCACGTGTTGATGTGTCAGTGTCTGGGAGTCGTACCCAAGTCGAGGTGCTGATACACTTGCAGCATGCTGTGGTTGACATTCCTGGAGTAGTCCTCCGTGCGCAGTACCAGGATGTTCGGCCTCGGGAACGTTTCCAGCCATTGTCGCAGATGCACGGCGTACAGGCCCACATGCAGACGCACGATCTGCGAACACAGACATGTGGCAGACATGTGGCAGACATGTCACACACATGTCATGCACATGACATGTGGCAGACATGTGGTAGCGGCTGACCAAACAAGGCGTCTGGAGGCAACAGAAAGTGGCGCATGGGGACTGCGGCCTCCCCTCCCTCCATCGAGAAGGTCAGCACTACCCGGCCCTCATACATTCACCGCCGTCAAAAACTAGGATAGATCCGTCACCCGTGTGTCTCATCAGAATCGAGCTCAACGCCGTTACACGTGCTCGCACCGAATCGAAGCTGGCATGTGCATTTGTCCCCTTCACTTGCGTGTTACGTGCTTACTGCACCATATCCCCAAAGCCGCATAGTGCAGGGCTTATCGAGCATGCTGGTCTAACTCCACCAGTCCCACCCCTATATCTTCCTTGAACCCGGTCCCGGGCCCGCCTGCGCCCGTCTTCCTCACCCCGAAACTGAGGAGGACGGAGCGGTCGGTGACACAGTCGTCCACGCTCCTAAAGGTGGTGCAGTTGTTCCAGATCGCCACGGCCTCGAGCGTCAGGTTGTGGAACCCATCGGCGTTCTTTTCTTTGTCCAAATCGGCGTTAAAATACAAGTAGTCGGAGAATAGCCTGAGGGTAAGAAGGCTTCGGTGGTATGATTGTCGTTTAAAAACAGGTGGACACTCGATATTTAATACATGCTCGGGTGGGGGTCGACTTGACCCGCTCCGCAGGTTTTTCAGGAATAGCTGCCGGAAGGTGCGGCGTAGCCGCACCAAATGTTGCGCAGCTGTAGTCAGTTGAATAGCGGATTGTCTGACACCAATAATTTAGGTGTACCTTGTAAGGTCGCTGACCTACGCCAGGTCAAAGTCAGGCCATGATTTTAGCGAGGACAATTGGTAGGGGTCCTTCAATCTGATTCAACAACAGAGCGTTAGACAAAGCCATACATCTCTGAGATACTTTCTTAGGCAACACAACAATTGAACTGACAAATCGCATTGACGTAAGGTCAGATATGAGGGTTAGACCAAGGTCAAAATCAACATGTTATATTACTGTAAGGCTTGCTGTATAAGGCGGTTTCTGGTGCTCATTTCGAATTTATTGATAACAGGAACCGCATTATACAGCTTTCATACACTTCTTAAAGATCAAAATATGTCACTGGCTAGAATGACCCAGGTCCACACTTCGTTTTTAGGAACATACTGTTTAGCGTAATCCTTGTCGCTTATCCAAATGCAAAGGTCGAAACAGTCTTGTATGATTTTGGTCACCATAACCTTCAAAAGGTCAAACGAAGTTAATGACCTTAGATGAGCATGTGACCTATAAACTTAGAACAGTTATCTAGGTTCCAGGGGCCCTTTGGAGACCAACCTGAAATTTGACCTTGTTTTACCTTATTTTACCCGAAGGCCATGACCTAGGAACCTCGAACTTTGACCCAAGTTAGTTCACGTATTGGTCAACGCACCCTGTGCATTTTGTATCTCTAGCTTTCTTAGTTCCTGAGATCTCACGCGGGGGGTCAAACTGATCCCCACCCGAGCGAAGGGTATCCAACCGGCCACCCGGGCGCGTGTTAGTCATGTCACAAGGACTGTGCAAGCCTGTGACAACAGTCCCGTATGCTTGAGCTCCTCGCGGAAGCTTTTTCATCGTGTGTCGCAGTTACCTAGACGAATGATATTGGCACGGCATCTGTATATTCCAGTTTGCTGCGCGGTGGTTTATTGAAGGAGAACATGGAGGAAGCCGTATCGTCTTTCACTTATTCGTGCGCCTCCCGGTTTGGGCGGGCTGGAGAAGCTGTCTTATGGAAAAACGACGCATCCTGCCAAGTCGAGGATGACGGGTACGAGCATGGCGGAGCCGTTGGACTCCCTGCCGTCCCCAAAAGAGACACGTGGGCCTCCATCCCGGAGTCGAGCCGCTGCTGTGGTGTCGGCCCGCCGCGTCGACAGGCCGCCGAACAGTTGTGGCCGTCGGACGGACGTGGCCCCCGGACAGTTGTGGCTTTCAGGTAGCTGCGGCCGCTGGACAGTTGTGGCCGCCGGGCAGTTGCGGCCCCGGACAGTTGCGGCCGCCGTACCGTTGCGGCTGTCGGACAGCTACGGCCGCTGGACAGCTGCGGCTGTCAGACAGTTACCCCCCGCCCCGGACAGTTACGGCCGCCGGGCAGTTACGGCCGCCGGACAGTTGCAGCCGCCGGACAGTGTCGGCCCCGGACAGTTACGGCCGCCGTACAGTTGCGGCTGTCGGACAGTTGCAGCTGTCGGACAGCTGCGGCCGCCCACCTGTCGCCGGGCTCGCGCAGGATGACAATGATGCGAGCGCGCGGCTGCAGTCTGGCCAGGCCGGCGGCCACGGAGTGGCCGAGCGGCGGGAACATAGTCAGCCCGGCCTCCCTGGCGGCTCGGTGGGCCACGCCGCCCCAGAGAGTCGACGTGCTGCCATCGCCTGCCGGGCGTCGAGGTCGACGTCAGTGCCGGTGTGCGGGCGGCGGGGGCGCGGCCAGAGCTGATGGAGTGTCACTGGCAGCTAACTTCAACGGGCAGAAATGCACATGTCGAATAGTGGGGCTGGAGAGCATGGGAACCTGCATAGGCTCTCGACTGGACTGGAGCAAGGTCCATCTGTCCTAGTTTCTTGCATTGATAACTGCGCAGCGATAGCTAACGGCTGTTTCATTTCAAATGAGTAACCATCGGGCCGGGAAATCAGGTGCTCCCTCCCTCAGCACATCCGCTGCTGAGGCATCCGATGCAGCAGCTGTGTCGGTGGTAATCTACAAACCGATACAGAGGGCACCACGGGCATGATCAGGCGGGACATATGTTTGATGGAATACTAACACACAGACAGCACGCGGTCAGAAAACTCATGTTGTGGAAACATTGACGGTCAAGAAAATCGTGCACCCGACGTGGCAACATATGTTTATCTTGCTTTGGTGCGGTGTCATAGTGCATTTTCAGTATTGATTCCGCATAAGGGCACGACACTATATATCTGACAAGTGAGGTTATTATCAAAGGATGGGTTATGGGCGAGGAATAAATGAACGAATATAATTGGATGTAATTGGACTTTTACGAAGCACTCAGCTGCTGCTGCCGTACGGTATCACTTGCCTCTCGTCCTGGTGCAAACCGCGAGCGCCGCGGGGAATCGAATCCGGTGCCGCGGGGAATCGAACCCGGTGCCGCTGGGAATCGAACCCGGTGCAGTGGGGAATCGAACCCGGTGCCGCGGGGAATCGAACCCGGTGCCGCGGGGAATCGAACCCGGTGCAGCGGGGAATCGAACCCGGCGCCGCGGGGAATCGAACCCGGTGCCGCGCAGGACCGAACCCGTGCCGCTCGTCTCCTAGATGCACATCGTAACTACGCTCGCAGTATCCTGCATGATTGAACGAAGAGTGAAATTTGAAAAAAACTATGGTCACTTAGGTGAAAGCCACCAGTCGAGCGCATGCTGTTGTTTGAAGAAAGGCAGTCATTTAAACGACGATAACTTCTTCCTATCATTAGAGTGCGGTCATATTCAGACTGCCTTGGAGGTGCCACATGATGATTATGATGCCCACATCACACGCAGACTGCGTTTACTAACAAACGATCGATGATGATCGATCAAAATGAATGATTGCTAACAAATGAAACACCAACGTCTGTACAAGTCGTGTCTCAGGCTGAGCTCACAAACATTTTGGGCATGGCACGACGTATCAAATACTTGGAATCGTTCACAGGGGCGTGGAGCAGGCGCTTGTTGCGGGTGCCGAGCCCTGAGCACGTGTCGCGCGGCTCCCCGCGACCGGGACGCCGCCGGCCGAGTGTTTTGAGCCGGCCGGCCGCTGTGTTAGGCCTGCGTGGCGCACCTGTGATCATGCGGCTGGCTGGTGTCCAGGGGCGCGCCGGGTCTGCCGCCGCCGCAGTCGGCCCCGGCTAGCTGCGCCGCCACCATCTCGAACGAGTCCACGTACTCCTGGAACGCCACTTGGCGACCGCAGTGGCTGGCCTGACCTGCCGAAACCGCGGCTCTTACGTCAGCTCGCGTCGGGACCGGTCGTCGCCGTGCCCGCACACGCTTGGCCTCGGCGTGTGTAATTCTTACCAATGTAAGAATTGATCGACGCCCGCGCCGACTGATCGACGCCAGCGAGCGTGAACTCTGGCTATCCGTTGTTAGTTATTTTGACTGTCATCGTCGCTGACGGTCGTAAGGTGGAGCGTAATGGAGCGGTACGGTGTAAGACACAGCGAGAACGGTCCTTTACGCTGCACGATCTGTCGGAGAGCGGTACTAGACTTCCGATCTTTACATTGCCCGATCTGTCGGAGAGCGGCACTAGACTTTCATTCCTTACACTGCCCGATCTGTCAGAGAGCGGTACTAGACTTCCGATCTTTACACAGCTCGATCTGTCGGAGAGCGATACTAGACTTCCGATCTTCACACAGCTCGATCTGTCGGAGAGCGATACTAGACTTCTGATCTTTACACAGCCCGATCTGTCGGAGAACGGTATTAGACTTCCGATCTAGACTTTGACACATGCATGTAAGGTAAGAAAAATGCTTTAGACGCCACATGAGAAGATATATTGCTCGTGCTCCAGCGGCCACGTCTCTGGAAGTCTGTACCCTTATCGCGATTCGTTGGTACTACAGACAGCCACAAACAGCACAGCGAGCAGACAGCAGGCAGGCAGGCGGGATCCCAGTCCTACTATGAAAGAAAGCCCAGGTCTGTACATTTCTGATTTGCATCGTAATGAGACATACATCAAAAAACGACTTGGTGCAATCGATTGGTCCTACTTGCCAATGGTTGAGAGTACTGGGAGATCAACTGGGGCTAACTCGGAGATCAAACAAAATGCGCTTGCTCGCGTCGTATGCTTACACGACGCAAATGAGGTACCCATGTTTAATTTCGTTTTATGAAACTGGACATCGCCGGACCCGCATCATTGTTGACGTTGTTCACGCCACGGCCTTTGCTCTTTGTCCGATACAACACATTACCACGCGAATTAATAAAGTAGCGTGCGTCCGATGGCCGCATGTTCTTGGTAATACGAGGTTGGTGATACACCAGTAGTAACATAACATGGATAATACAACACTGCTAATACATCAGTAGTGATATAACAGAAGTAATATAACAGAAGTCATACGACATCAGTCATATTTAGGTAATACTATCCTTTTATTTATACTGTTTGTTAAGCATTTTTGCGCAACCCAGGATCTTTAATTAAATCGATGTCACCAGTGAGGAGCGTGGCGCATCAGCGGCGTACCTGGCTGGAGGGGGAAGCGGGCGCGTGTCCACCAGTTGGGGCCCTTGAGCGTGCCGGCCAGCACGTGCGGGTGCAGGCTGATGCGGTGCATCAGGTCCGTGGTGCCACATTTGGGCTGGCCCACGATGTAGAAATAAGGCAGGCAGCGCAGCCGCAGGACCGACGCCGGCTCGCTGACGAACGGCCGGTAGCGCTGCGCCCTGGCGACAACGGCAGTGGCCCTCGGATGCCCAGCCCACGGCGCTGGAACTGAGCTGATGGGTGCGGTGGCGGCGCAGCTCTCTGGCGCAGCCACCAGCTCGGACGCTCAGCTCACGGCGCTGGAGCTGAGCTGATGGGTGCGGTGGCGGCGCAGCTCTCTGGCGCAACCACCAGCTCGGCGCTCCGGCTCACTAACTTTGCGGCAAATTCGATTAGTTTCTATGCAAAATCCGATCAGGCAGATGGACCTGACTGCAGCAAATGTGGATAGCGCCCTATTTCAAATTTGATTAGGCGGAAAGGCTTAGCCGCGCAGCCTTCACTGGGCCCCCTTAAGCTTGACCATACAGCCTCCGTTGAGCTCCCTTAAGCTTGACCATACAGCCTCCATTGAGCTCCCTTAAGCTTGACCATGCAGCCTCCGTTGAGCTCCCTTAAGCTTGACCACACAACCTCCGTTGAGCACCCTTAAGCTTGATCATATAGCATCCGTTGAGCCCCCTTAAGCTTGACCATGCAGCCTCCGTTGAGCTCCCTTAAGCTTGATCATATGGCCTCTGTTGAGCCCCCTTAAGCTTGACCATGCAGCCTCCGTTGAGCTCCCTTAAGCTTGACCACACAACCTCCGTTGAGCACCCTTAAGCTTGATCATATGGCCTCTGTTGAGCCCCCTTAAGCTTGACCATGCAGCCTCCGTTGAGCTCCCTTAAGCTTGACCACACAACTTCCGTTGAGCACCCTTAAGCTTGATCATATAGCCTCTGTTGAGCCCCCTTAAGCTTGACCATGCAGCTCCCGTTGAGCCCTCTAAGCTTAACCACGCAACCTCCGTTGGGCACCCTAAGCTTGACCATGGAGCCTCCGCTGAACCCCCCACCCGTGACCATGCAGCCTCCGTTAAGCCCGCTAAGCTTGACCACACAACCTCCGTTGAGCAAGCTGAGCTTGACCAAGCAGCCTCCGTTGGGCCCCCTAAGCTTGATCGTGCGGCCTTCACTGAATTCCCTCAGTGGAAGTGACATATTTACAGGCACGCTAGTGTCTGTGATATAACGCGTAGGATGGCTGCACATTTAGTGTTCATGGTTGACAATGAGCTGCGGAGTTAACATAATCAAGTGTATAACCGTGTCAAAAAACTGCCTAATATTTCAGACAATTCAATAGCTGTTTCATCTTTCACTTATTTCATGCAAACTGCGATGTGAACAGCAGGCGCGGCTGGCTCTTACAGAAAGCCGTTTTTACTTTTTGCATACCGTTTTGAGAATATGCTTCTATTTTTCGTATAGTTTGCATAGCAGTTCTTCTCCAGAAATTCTACACTTTGCTGCGTAAGATCTTGAAGCCAGCAGGGATTCTTGACCCCAGACAAAAATGCAATCTGAAATAGTGCGAAACCGATTAAAAATAATGCTTCACAGCTTAAAAACCATGTTTCCTCATTATGGTTTTCCTATCCTATAAGGATAAAAAAATTACACTACACACGTATTTACAAGCGTCACGGCCGTACAGCCCTTTCAAGCCAAACCCCAGGCACACATCGATGCCAATTACCCCGTCACTGCCAGCGTAGCCTCAGCAGTGAGCCATGCCCGACACCGGCGCGCGTGGCCCTCCCCCTGCACGCTGCGAGCAGACCGTGGCTGCGCCGCTCACCGGCGGTAGCGGGGTGGCGTCGTCCCCCGACTGCGCAGGCCACGCGGGCCCCGTCCAGCGGATGCAGACGTCGTCCGGCGTCGGCACCAGGACCACCGGCGCGGAAGAGTTATGCCCTCCAGATGGCGCCGACCGGTCGCCGGCTGCGGGCGGGCGGAGGGCGGAGTCAATGGGCCCTGGCGACGGCCGCAGGCGGGCTGGCGGGGCTCGGCCAATGCCGGGGGCCTGCTGCGGGCGTGGGCTCTCCGCAGAGGGGTGGATGTGTGACTCACGGTCGTCTCGGCCGAGGGGTGCCTGATTCGGGTATGGGTCTCAGTTCTGCCGACCCGGAATGGCTTCCGGACGCAAGACCATTTTGAACCGGGATTCGGCTGAATCGATTCATTTCACAGGTATACTGTATTTGAACCAGTGATTAAAGTGCAGTCGGAGCCAGCCTAAGGTATTTAATGATGTGAGCCTCCTCGGCCTTCACCGGAATAAGGCATCTGACCGGATCCAGATTCAGGTCTGGCCTCAATTCAAAGGCAACTCAAATAAATCTCAGACTTGGTAAGCATGAGTCATACTTGGCAGCTTTGATTCTTATCTCAAACATACCATACCTCTCTGCCAAAATCATTGAACGCTTCTTAAAGGCGACGTTATCTACGTCATGCTGCGACTGTGTAAATTGCACAATTCGAGCGCGATGCGACGATCGAACACACGCCTAAAACAGGCGACAGACACAATCGGGAAACCAAAACCTCAGATGAGCAGACGAGGTCAGCGAATTATGCATAAGTTGCCTATAGGCAGGCAAATGTTTGTACTAAATACATAAGTTCTGGGGCATAAGTAGCATTTTCCCGTACACTGAGGGAATGTTTACAGACCCTAAGATCACCTTTGGGACCCAACAGTGAAGGACCAGTATGGCAAAGGCAGTTAGCAGTTACACGCGACTCGCCGTAGCAGCAAGCAATCAATTCGTCTCAGTAATCTGTTACGTGACCAAGTGACCAAGAGAGCCTCGGAAAGTGATCGAGTAAGAAGACACCTCCCCGCCACGGCTGGATATTTTTCTGCCCTCACCAGTGTGACATACCCATAAGCAGTGATAACCTTATTGGCATGATGTTTAATTGTAGCATGCAGTGAAAATCTAACAACCAGTAAAAAAGCTCAGTGGCGGAGGCTTATCTTCAAGAGAGGTCCAACTTGACCATGCTGAAGGCTGGAGCAAAGAGTGTCTGATGGGAGCGTCGAGAGGCCTCATTTCAAAGGAAGCCATGGAGGCAGCATCGGAGGTCGAAGTCACAAGTGGGCCGTGGGGACGTCCAAGGCTGGGGCTGGATAATGGCTGGCATAGTCGGCGGAAGCCGGTGTTTGTGGAAAGTGAAAACGTTCGAGACTGGGGTTAGATAGTGGCTGGTACATTGGCGGAAGCCGGTGTTTGTGGACGGTGAAAGCGTTCGAGACTGGGGCTAGATGGTAGTTGGTATAGTCGGCGGAAGCCGGTGTTTGTGGACGGTGAAAGCGTTCGAGACTGAGGCTAGATAGTAGTTGGTACAGTCGGCGGAAGCCGGTGTTTGTGGACGGTGAAAACGTTCGAGACTGGGGCTAGATAGTGGCTGGTACAGTTGGCGGAAGCCGGTGTTTGTGGACGGTGAAAGCGTTCGAGACAGGGGCTAGATAGTAGTTGGTACAGTTGGCGGAAGCCGGTGTTTGTGGACGGTGAAAACGTTCGAGACTGGGGCTA